AGTGCCAAAATACAGAAAATGTCCTGAATATTGAGTCACTGACACTGTGAAAAAACCCCAGATCCCCAAAGCCTGTCCTTATGGCACAAACAAAAAAAATTACACACTCTGTCAGATGTCCCTAAACTATTCCAACACACACTGACAAATGACTGCTGTGAACCCATATACTGTAGTAAGGGGCTAGCACATAAAGCCCCACACCTTTTAAGCCAACTGACCTTAGTTCAATGCCATGCAGTACATTATGTTTACAAAAAATTCAGTCTGCATCAGGGGCGGACTGACAACTCATGGCCCCCCCGGGCAATAGGGGATCATGGGGCCCCTGTGTCCTTGCCCAAACTCAAAAAAGCCTATGAAAAAGGTACCAGGGGCATCTCATGGGGCCCCCTACTGACCCCGGGCCCTCGGGCAGTGCCCGAATTTCCAAATGGTCAGTCCGCCCCTGGTCTGCATTAATTCTCTTGAACCTTAAACCCTGAACACACAGGATTTGCCACAAATCCAAGGTAGGATGAATCTGAACTCATTGCTAAGAAGGACCATGGAGACAAGCCAAGGTGGACTGTTGGTAAAGATTTAGACAATTCTACAGTTGTTAGTTACTTTAAAGTGTACACTGAACTTTAGTTGTTCAAATGCCAATTCAAAGTGTGTCTATCTGGATGGTAGCTGGTCAGTAATGCATTACAGATGGCTTTCAGAAAAACTGGTGATGATAACAATTTAACATTTAGCCTGGCTGCCTCTTCAAAGCAAGCCATGTGTCAGAGACAAAACATGGATCAACCTATTCATAGCCTCTCTAGACGTAACACAGTAGGTGCAGTCATTAACACATACTGCTACAGCTTCGTACTGAGTGGAAAGTGAAGTGCCATATGTGGGTTACTGCTCTGAGCCCTACGGATGCCCGGTCCAGTCTTGTAAATCAATGCAAGGACATTACTATGGTTTAAACAACAGTTTTATGCACTGAAATAAATAATAAAAATGAAACCCACAATAGTCATTTTTTCTGCTTCATGTAATAATATCACCGTAAGATTAGGATTTGAAAGGAACCAAATAATCAGATTTAGCTTGTTAAATAAAGTGTATCTAAACACAAAGCCAAAAATACAATATATTGTAGCTTACTAGTCCTTGATGTGATGGCTGCATTTGGTTTTTTTTTTCAAGAATATTTTGCTTTATTTGCACCTAGTAATCCTGCAAATAACTCACTTTCTGTCCCTGGGTGGCTATGTCACTTCACCACTGTATCAATGGATGGAGCCATGGTTTTCCACCTAGACTGCTCTCTTGAAATGGGCTACAAACATGTCTCTATCTCCTCATCTACATTACACAGGAGGCAAGGCAAGAGGTAGTCTACAGAAAATAGCTAAGATGGAAGATATTCTTTGGTGCAGCTCACAGAAGTAATATGGCCAGATAACTTCTCACAAGATCAACCAGTATTTTCTGAATTTGCTGAAAATGCTCGTTGCTAAAAAAAAAAAAAAAAAGCTGCAATATAATGCATTTTTATTCTTGGGCTTAATTATCCTTTAAGTTATATCTAAAGCCAAAACTTTTGTTTAGTTTTCAATAGAGAGTGGAAGAATTAGAACCTGTGTGGGAATGTTATTGCTTTGTACAATGGTGTATTTTGGTTTTGTGCTGCCCTAGGCAAGACTAAAATCGGGCACCCCCCCTGCATCTAAATTTGTCCCACCCCTTCCTGTTTAAGACCCACCCCTTCATATGTAAACCCACCCCTTCCTATTTAGACTCAACCTCTTCCTATTAGAGCTCCACCCACTGACAACGATGGGGCGCTATTCCTCCCACTGACATCAATAATGGGGCACTATTCCTCCCACTGACACCAACAATGGGGCACTATTCCTCCCACTGACACCAATGATGGGGTACTATTACTTACTATTACTTCCACACTGATACAAATGATGGGGCACTATTCCTCCCACTGACACCAACAATAGGGTACTATTCCTCCCACTGACACCAATGATGGGGTACTATTACTTCCACACTGATACCAATGATGGGGCACTATTTCTCCCACTGACACCAACAATGGGGCACTATTCCTCCCACTGACACCAATGATGGGGTACTATTACTTCCACACTGGCACCAATGATGGGGCACTATTCCTCCCACTGACACCAACAATGGGGCACTATTCCTCCACTGACACCAATGATGGGGTACTATTACTTCCACGCTGGCACCAATGATGGGGCACTATTCCTCCCACTGACACCAACAATGGGGCACTATTCCTCCCACTGACACCAATGATGGGGTACTATTACTTCCACACTGATACCAATGATGGGGCACTATTCCTCCCACACTGGCACCAATGATGGGGTACTATTCCTCCCACACTGGCACTAATGATGGGGCACTTCCTCCCACTGACACCAATGATGGGGCACTATTCCTCCCACACTGGCACTAATGATGGGGCACTATTCCTTCCACTGACACCAATCAGAGAGAGAGAGAGAGAGAGCGAGGAGGGAGGGGGAGCGAGAGGAGGGAGAGAGAGAGGGAGAGAGAGGGGAGAACAGAGAGAGAGGGGAGGGGGAAGAGAGAGAGAGAGAGAGGGGGGAGAGGGAGGGGGAAAGAATACACAAGGCTGGCTGGAAGTGAGGGCGGGGCAGACACAGGAGGAGTGTGTGAGGGGAGGGGGGGGGGAACTGTCAGCATCGGGGACTGCATATGCTGACAGATCCCCTGCAGTGCTGGAGGGGGCGTCCGTGGGGGAGCATACAGTAGCTGACCGTATGCAGGAGATGGCTAGGGGAGGTGACTGGCGGCACATAGAGCATAGAGAGAAATGCATGGTCCTCTATGTGCCGCCCAGACCCCTCTCCTGCCGGCTCCATGGCTGACAGGTTCTCTGTCTCCTCACCCATCCTCGCCGCCGAGCACACACGAACCCGCCCGAGCACGCCCCCCCTGGCCAAGCACAGCCCTTTGCAGCGACAGTACTGGTCCCTTCTGCCTGGGGGCGGTGCCGCCCCCCTGAAAAGTGCCGCCCAAGGCAGATGCCTTGTTTGCCTCGCGACAGATACGCCCCTGGCTTTGTACCTGCTGGGGGTGGATTCATCCTCTCCATTTGTTCTGATGGCCATAGTTATCCTCAATGTGACTAACAGGAGTTTTAACTCATCCCTACTTTATCTGACACTAAGAAAGGCTTTGGCTATACAAAGACTTTAAATATACCTGAACATATCTGAAAGTTCTAAGCATATTTTGTCTGAAAAAAATGTAATAAATAAATTGTTCTAATGTTTTTAAAGGTGAAATGGCCAGTGTTTCATGACAATGAGAGAATAAAATGAGCATCATAGCTAATTTTATAGGAATGCAAAAAACTGATCCCATTGAACCATTTGGGGTCCTGGCACATAGGCTTGCTACCTCTGCTTCAGTACTAGGGAACAACTTTACTTATATTACGTATTCTGAGAAGCTGTATGCACCAAAGTGCCATATATATCCTTGGACCACTATTGTTACACAAAATATTCATAGAACGTTTTTAGGATTTTCAGTAGATTTAACACTGAAGACCACTGCACAAAGCATTTACAACATCCTGTGATGTTTCTAAGTACGTTAAGGTAACCCTATTTCCACAGTAAACTTGCTAATATTAATGAAATGTAATCTCTCAGATGTGCCTGCTTGTGCTGATGTATACTTTTTAGTGCACCCCTGAAACCCAGGGAGCACTGTTATGCAAATATTAAGTTCAAGCAATGATGTTAAGCATGGGTCTACCCCCGCCGCCTACCTTTCCTCGCTATTGGTCAGTAAGACCTCCCATTACAGCAGTGGACTAATAATGAGGCATAAGAGGAAAGAGGGGTGGGACCAAGTTTGGTCAACCCATGCTTTCTCTTTTCAGCACAAAACAACAATTATCGTTAATCCCCTTTCCAGCACATACTGTACATATCTTTCCCTTGAACCTCCAGTGTTTTAGGAGACAAAGAAAATACTGTACCTGTTACTTGCGAGAATGGAGGAGCATGTGACTCTCTCCCCATCTGACAGCAGTGGTCCAATAGCCTTATGCCCATAACTTTGTGTAAGTTATGTCTTTGGCAATTTATGGGTTATAGAGAGATTGTCTTTCACTTCCAGAAGGCAGGGGAACAATAGAAGGGTAACTATATGGGTCTGTATAGGTCTTCAAATAAAGTAAACCCTTGCATGAAAAAAGAACAGATTTTCTTTAAAGTGGAACTTTAAAGAGATATTAAAGTTTTTTTTTGTTAATAAATAACAAACATGTCATACTTGCCTACTCTGTGCAATGGTTTTGCACAGAGCAGCCCCGATCCTCTTGTTCTCAGGTCCACCACTGGCACTGTATATGAAGAAACAAAAAGAGGGTGCATGGGCCTAGTGCATTACCTTTAACCACTAGCCTACTGGGCACTTATACCCCCTTCCTGCCCAGGCCAATTTCACACTTAGAATGACAATTGCACAGTCATGCAACACTGTACCCATATGACATTTTTATAATTTTTTTGTGACAGATAGAGCTTTATTTTGGTGGTATTAATTCAGCTCTGGGTTTTTCATTTTTTTCTTAAACAAACCAAAAACCACTGAAAATTTTGAAAAAAACATTTTTTTTCTTAGTTTTTGTTATAAAATTTTGTAAAATGGTGATTTTTCTCCTTCACTGATGTGCGCTAATGAGGCTGCAGTGATGGGCACTGATAGGCTGCACTGATGGACACTGATAGGTGGCACTGATGGGCATGGATGAGGAGGCACTGGTCGGTGGCACTAATGGGCATTGACAGGCATCACTGATGGGCACTGAAAGGCAGCACTGATACATGGCACTGATATATGGCACTGTTAGGCAGCACTGACTGGCACTGTTAGACAGCACTGACTGTCACTGTTAGGCGGCACTGACTGGCACTGATAGGTGGCACTGATGCACACTGATAGGTGGCACTGACTGGCACTGATTGCACTGATAGGTGGCACTGATTGGCATTGATAGGTGAGACTGACTGGCACTGATGGATGACACTGAAAGGCAGCTCAGATGGGCAATTGATGTGCACTGGTATGCACTGATATGTTGCATTGATGTGGCACTGATAGGCACTGGCACGTGGCACTGACAGCTGGCACTGATGGACTTTGACAGGTGGCACTGCTGGGGCTACACTGATCATCAGGGCACACTGATCATCAGTGCCCTGATGATCAGTGTACATGTCCCCTCCGCGGAAAGCCGATTACCGTCTCTCCTCTCCTCTCGAGCTGTCAGCGTGACAGCTCAAGAGGAGAGAAATGCTGATAACCGGCATTTCCGTGTTTACATGTGATCAGCTGTGATTGGACACATCTGATCACCTGACCGAGCCGACATCTTCGGCTCTTTCCGTGATCGGTGATCCGCTGTGTCCAAGGGACACAGCGCACCACCGATCGCCGCGCTGCATGCTCCCTGAGCCGCTCATGCGCGGTGAGAGAATGGGAGGACGTCATATGACGGCCTCTCAGAACGAGAGAACCACCTTGCATACGTCATTGGACTATATGACGGGCGGGAGGTGGTTAAAAACAAGATGTATTGATAAAAAGTAAAATATTCACAAAGGAAAAAAATCTAACTAAGGGCATGTCACAAGAAATGCAGCATGGTCCAATCACCCTGAAGGATGTCTGGTGGGGGGACTGTAGACCTCGAGGTGGCTGTTGGCTGACACGTTTCGAGGCTGTGCCTCTTACTCAGAGCCAATGGCAGTGCTGAGATGAACTTCTGAGCAGTGACGTCATATCAGCCGGGCAAAATGAAAGTGGCCGAGGATCCGGCCGTTGGGTAGCTCTGGGACACCGCAGCGCTGGACAGAAGGTGAGCATAGTTCTGTTTTAAAGTATGTAAAACCATTAGAGGAAAAAAAGGAGCGCTCTGCACAACAAAAACATCACACAAGATTCTGGAGTATTGAAGCTGACAATCACTACAGCTATTATATGAGTAAGCCCTTTCAGGTGAAACGCCTTAGAGGTCCCAAAATTGTTAGCCACAAAATATTGGAGTAAGAGCCAGCTGCTGGGTAAATAGAATTCCACTGCACACATGTGGGAGTTACATTATCAGTACCCTACCAATGGCTGAAGATAGAAGACTCCACACCTGGAAGAAGAATAGGAGAAGATGGCAGCTGCAGTGACTAATGCAGGCCATAGACGTTGAGAAAACCGGACGTTTTTTTTTTTAGAAATCAGCCGACGTTACCACCATTGGTAAAAAAAAAAGTCGGCTGATTTTCGTCCCGTCTATGGCCGGCAATAGAATATGCAGAAGAAGAAGAAATAGAATATGAATAAAAAGAAGAAATAGAATATGCAGAAGAAGAAAAATAGAATACGAAGAAGAAGAAGAAGAAGAAGAAGAAGAAGAAAAAAAGTTGCAACATTGTATCTATTTGTATCCATTTCGGATACAGATGTTTCTATTCGGATACAAATAGATACAATGTTGCTATACTTTTAAATGTCAAATATAATATCTGAAATTCTTTTTTTTTTTTTTTCTTCTTCATATTCTATTTCTTTCTTCTTCATATTCTATTTCTTCTTCCTCTTTATATTCTATTTCTTCTTTTTATTCATATTCTATTTCTTCTTCTCATTCATATTCTATTTTTTTCCTTTTCTTCTTTTCCTTCTTCTTTCATGTCACTGCTCATGCGCATTTTTTAAAATTGGAAAAAGATTGGCATATTTGTCCATCATTGCCGCGAAAATTGGCAGAACGACAAATTAGGCTGATTATTTCCTAGCAGGACCGATAACACTGTTCAACAAATTTTTATTTTTTGCCAGTTTTGGAAACAAAAGGATCCATTTCTTAATGAATTTCACATTCTGAGTTCAAATATAACAATGAAATTTGTCAATTGGCTCTAGTTTTTTCTGTAAACGGAAAGTGCACGTGACTACACGCTTCAGGTTCTTCCTCACTTGACTCAACCACAAAGGATTCTGGTGCTTTAGGAATTGGTAGCCCCTCTCCATAAGGAACTGGACGTATTGCCGATGGAATATTTAGATATTTGGAATATTTAGTGCACAGATAACTTTTTCTTCTTATTTAGCCCTTTTACAATTGGAGGCACCATACAAAAGTAACAATTACTAACATGACCTGTTGGCTCTCTCCAAATCATTGGCACAGCGAAAGGCATAGATGCCTTTTTTCCATTCAACCATTGCTCCAGTGCCGTCCCACAAGAATTGCAGCATATATGTGGTGCCCAGCTCTTGTCCTGGTCTCCTATCTTGCAGCCAAAATACAAGTTGTAGGCTTTCTTAATCATTCCTGTTATCCTCCTTTTTTGTGAGATAAAAGTTATTTCACCGCAGATATAGCAGAAATTATCTGCTTTATTCACACAAGTTTGAGGCATTACTGAGTAGCCTATATAAGCATAAAACGAAATGTAAAGACGCTGTCGAACTACAATCAGCTACAGATACTGCAGCTTTTATGCAGTGAAGTGATGCAATTAAAGGCTAATATTGCATCATCTCAGTATACATGCAATTTTCTATTGGTCACCAGTATCAATTGCGCAATATGCAGCTGAAGTTGCATCATAATTTTGAATGGCTTACGTCATTAGATGGGTGAATATATCATGGAAACTAGAGCCAATCAACATTTTTTAGGGTCATTTTCGTTTTCAGCACCCCAAAATTATGTAAGATTAGCTAATTTTATGCCCAAAACTTTTTACCTGTTGAACAGTGTAATCGAAAAGAGTAAAAATCACTAAAAATGGCCAACCGATTACCGCACGAAGGATCCGAAAATCGGCCAATTTTTTTTTTCCGGCTGATTAGCGGCCGTTTTTCATCCCATCTATAGCCCGCATATGTGTGGACCCTACATCTACAGTATACAGGAGATAATCCTGCCATATTATGCAAGTATGCTGTGCAAATGATAGCATGAGATCCAGGGACACCATGGATACATTACCACTTTAAGTTCCTTAAGTAGATATTTGCAGAACAGAGGGCCCGGGGTTCTCTGCAAGCTATGTGTCAGCACATTAAGGTATCTATGAGTTCCTTTTCAGCAGGAGGCCACAGATGAAAATAAATTTCCTACACATCCCTGACCTGTAACCTGATTCTGATGGTTTACTTGACCCTTAAGCTTAACCCTTTTCCAACCCCAAATCCTAACAATAAGACACATGTTAAAAATGAGAGAAAACGTAAAGTCTTAAGAAAACTTTTTAAATATTCTCCAAATTACTGACCTATACCAAGCATGCGGATTAAAAAGTCAGACATTCTGATCTGCGTACTTCTTGCTAGTCAGTGGCTCAAAAATACCAAAGCATCAGAATCAAACAACAAGCATTTAAAAACAGGAGTGTTCCTGCAATGGCAAACTTCACATGTTGGGGGCATTTGTTTTGGGGGGCCATATTACCAAATGTATCTTGCCCAGACCCTGACCTTTTTTATTTTTTTGTTTACATGTTTAAAAAAACTAATTTTAGGACTAAAGATCAGTTAAAACCCCCAAACATTATCTATTTTCTAAAAGCAGACACCTTAAAGAATAAAATAGTGGTTTAGGTGTCACCCAATATTAGAACATCGGTTTATTAAATACAAAAGTTCAGTAAAAAATACAATGAAGTGATATTAACGGCAATTTAAAAAAAAAATGTAATACTTACCTACTCTGTGCAGTGGTTATGCATAGAGCAGGCTTGATCCTTCCCTTCTTGGGTTCCGGGCCGGAGCCCCTGGCCCCTCCTCCTGCCCCCAAAGCAAACAACTTGCTATGGGGGCACTCAAGCAGGCTAACTCATGAGCCGCTGCTCTGCGTGCCCATTCACACACAGAGTGACAGCTCGACCCTGTCCCCTCTCTCTCCTCATTGGCTGGGATTAAAAATGGCTTCGGCTGCTGTCTCAGCCAATGAGGAGGGAGAGTCCTTGGAGAGTTAAGACTCTTGTACACTTCGCTGGATTGCAATGGAGCTCAGGTAAGTATTAGGGGGGTGCTGAAGGAGCTGCTGCACACAGAAATTTTTTTATATTTATATATAGAATGCATGAAGGTAAAAAACCTTGAGCCTTTACAACCACTTTATTTTTAGGGCATATAAATGCGATATATTACCAACGTTTTGTAAAATCTAAAATATGAGGTTGCACTGAATAAATAGACACTCAACATGACAAACCTTAAACTCACATTCTTTCATAGGCGACACTCTAGAAGCCCCTATAGGCTCAGTTTAGAGTTAACCATGAATAATAGACCTGTTTTTGTGCATAGGTGCCCTGACCAGGGGCGGACTGACAACTCATGGGGCCCCCAGGCAATAGGGGATCATGGGGCCCCCGTGTCCTTGCCCAAACTCAAAAAAGCCTAGAAAAAGGTACCAGGGGCATCTCATGGGGCCCCCTACTGACCCGGGCCCTCGGGCAGTGCCCGAGTTTCCAAATGGTCAGTCCGCCCCTGACGCATGCATTTAACTACGTATATGTGCGTGTATGTGAAAATGTTGAAGCATATGATCATTGCCATGTCCTGCGCAAACCACAGCAATGAAAAAGTGCACACATCTGCATCTGAAGGTCTGCAGCAGCATTTACAAATATAATGAGTTGGGCAATCGGGATGAGGCCCTTGAATTATTTTGTCACAAAATAACTCTTATGGCAGCCACAAAGTTACAGAACACGCTAAGTGTGCACAACGATGTTGAGGTGGTCGACTGGGCAGAAACTAGCTTTGACACTGCATACAAGCCATCTAATAGGGTATGTGCAGCTGTCCTGTGCTAATTTCCTCTCCTTCCTCCTGTGTAACGTTTGGAATGTCCCTAAGCAAGCATGCGTTATGCAGAAGGTAACAGTGAACAGGTGGTATTGTCATCTTACTAGATGGACCAGAAAATGGGGAACTCAGACAGCTACATCCAGGCCAAATTTTCAGTATTCTTCAAATAGAAAAGCCTGGCTAGCATGAACTAGGTTGTGTAGCTGTAACCATCTCAAAAAGTTAAAAAACCTGCAGAACAGTTATACATTTCTTCCAGCATGTTGTGCATTTTATGTATGTTTGTTCTTCTTTTTTACCCACCAGTGATCACGGTCATTCCTGACAATAGGGATCAGAAGACAGAAGGTGGAAACGCCGCACACCAGAACCCAGCCTTTATATAAAGAGGTAAAAATACGGCTTCAGCCTGAACTCCTCCTGGCTATACTCCTCTGACGTGTTTTGCCCCACCTACAGGGCTTAATCATAAACATATGTTAGAGATAGAGTTTTGCAGTGCTTTGAGCGGCACTCCAATTTTTTTCATATGGGTCACATTCCTGACACTTCACATTAAAGGAATTAGTGATGCTAATTATTCAGCATTTGTGGTAGCTAAA